CTGCGGCGCTCCGCTGCCCGCCGGTCCCGCTTCTCCTCAGCGCCAGGGCCGCCGCGGCCTCTCGCCCTCTGTCCCGGCGGAGCTCTTTGTCCCGGGGCTACGGTTGTGCAGTGTTCCCCCCCGAGCTCCTGGCCGGTGTTTGTCCCGGATCTGACTCCCGTTGGGCGGCTGTTCTCCTTAAAGCCCGGCCCGCAGCAGCGCTCTGCCTTCAGCGCGGGCTCGCCCTCCCTTCGGCCTGTGTCCCCCCTCTGACACGGACTCGCCCTGGTCTCTCCCAGAGGTGCAGGGGTGTGGGCCCTCTCCTGCCCCCCGGAGCCTTAGTGCTGGGCTTTCGCTTCGCACTGGTTCAGTTTCGGGCTAAAACTTTTCCTGTCTGTTACAACTGATCAGAGGGGTGACAGCCAGGCATGCAGAAGGTGCCATACTGGAGCTACTAAGTTGATCAGAGGCTTGGAGCATTTTTCTTAGGAGGAAAAGCAGAGAGCTGAGCTTGTTCAGCCTTGAGAAGAGGTGACTGAGAGGGGATTTCATTAATGTGTATAAATATATAAAGGTGTGGGGGGAAATGTCAGGAAGATGGAACCAGGCTCTTGTTGGTGCCAAGCAATAGGAAAAGAGGGAATGGGCAGAAACTGATGGACAGGAAGTTACACGTGAACATGAGGAAGAACTTCTCTACCGTGCAGATGACTGAACTGGAAGAGATTGCCCTGAGAGATTGCTGAGTCTCCTATACTGGAGATAATCAAGAGGCATCTGGATGCAGTCCTGTGCAATGTGCTGTAGGATTACTCTGTTTGAGCAGGGAGGTTGGACCAGATGACCCTCTGTGGTCCCTTCCACCCTGACCAATTCTGTGATACCAGTCCCTTTTGCAGCCTCTTCCACGTGCGGTTCTCTTTTTTCTGAATGCTCTGAAGTCTTGTCTCTGTCAATTTGTTACTCTGCTGACTGACAATGCCCTTCCAGTCACCAGTGTTCCTGAGTTCTTTAGCTGGAAAATGAGTTGAAGTGTACTCCAGGCTTGTATTTCAAGGTTTGTCAGTGGTTCTGTCTTCTTGGATATTCTTACCCATAACACAAGGTCTCGGTTGTTACTTAGTATCTAGTCTTCTGGCTTATAGTGGTAGTGAATTCAGCTTCATCTAGACACACATTTTTTATTGTGTGTTAACTATCATACTGATGTCAGGTAAATGTTTCCTCTGCTGCCTGGTATGAGATAAAGTAAACAAACATCTCTCTTTTCAATTTTCTCAAGTTCTTATTTTCTTTATCATGCAAGCAATTCCAACCCCCAGTTGTTTTTGTTTTGTTTTTTTCTCCAATATTTTCTAGTTTTCACTTCTTTCATATCCCTCTCTGTGATGATGTAAAGGTATGTTTTCAAAACACAACATGTGCTACTCTGTGTGTTATTTAAACTGGCATTGTGCCATGATTTGCCTGATAGTTAAACTCCCATGTTTTCTGTCCCACATCATCTTACATTTTTTTGATGGCAGTTGGTTGTGGAATGGAAGACAGTGATGGCTATATTTAGAACCTGGTTAGACATCTCAGTTGGTTTAATCCTCAGTAATTATCAATATATTATTGGTGTTTATCAGTAATAAGCATCAGTTGTTCATTTTGTGTGTTACTGGTTTCCCTCAAGTTCCTTATATTTCTCTGAACTTGGCTTAGTTAAATAACACTGTTGTTGGATTGCTCATGTCCATTATCTCTTTCTCCTGATCATGGCTGCATGCATTACTTTGTATCTAATAAGAGAGATTTGATAGCCTAAGCCTTTGACCATGACAAAAACAGACTAATGATTCTTTATTCTGTGATTTTCTTCTCAGCAAGTTCTTGATCTCTGTTAGTTGTGGCTTTTGTTTGTCTGTCTTTTGAGCCATGGTTTCTCAGAAATAGCAACCTAGAGTAAGCATGAATGAGGGTCATCGGTGTGTCATCTGCTGTGCCATCACTGCTTGTGTGTTTGTTTATTCAGGAACTGCAAGGTAATTATTTTCCATTCCATGTGATCATGCACAGGAAGTTAATGCACAGTAAAAAACCTGAAAGTGCTTGGCTCATTTCTTTGAGTGCTTTATCAGGATGTGTTCTCATTCACCTGATTTTTAGTTTTTAGTGTGAACAGCTTACCAGAAGTAATGGTATGACATCGGTCTTCTTCCCTTTTTTGCTGTTTTACATTCATAGACATCATTCATAGACAGTTTTATGTGAGATAATTTTTAGTGTTTAATTGATGTTGGTACTATCTCCCAGATATGTTACATTCTAGTTTTAATTAGTGTTTAAATCAGATTTCCAAGGACCTGTATGCGGCTTTATTTCCGTCTGATAGTGTGTTAGTAATAGTGTTGCTAAGCAAGGTTTTCATGGCTTCTGTGGGGCTCATATTCATTGAGTGTTTGATCATGATGCTCTTGTCTCATGGTTGTGGCCTCTAGAATTTCTAGATGACCTCAATGCATGTACTAATGAGGCCTGAAACTCTGCTATTGGTGAGACTGTGTTCATTCAGGTTAATAGGGATCTTTATCCTGGACAGGGTGAATTAATCTACATCACCCATTACCTTGCAGTTCACTTCTTTAAATATTGGTAGTTTTGTGCCACTTTCTGGTTTTGTGGTGCAGCAGTTCCTCAGAATTGCACATTTTCACATTACTGCATTGTAGTTGAACTTCAGTCATTTTGATCAAAAGAGCTTTTTCTGAATGCTTAGATCTGAAGTGATCAGGTTGCTTCAGCAATGATGTCTTGGCATCACCATCTCAGCAGCTGTCTGCTTTTCCTGACCATTGAAAACCCATTCTCTTGGCAATTTTGCCATGGAAAGTGCTAGCACGATGCGGAAGAAAAGGCATGAGAAGTGTATCAGCAGCATTTTCCAGCCTCCTATTGATGCATATTATTAATCCTTTTCTAGACATACACGTAGCATGCAGAGCTGTGGGGTATTATGGACAACATCCATATTGCATATGAGAAAGCACCTTAAATTAAGAGTAATGCTTCTGGCTCAGGAAATGCTTCTGAGCTACAGCTTGTTGTAGTTGGGGAGGATAATCTGATAAAGAATTGTCATTGTCATTGTTTTACTCTTTCCTAGTTGTCTGTTACTGGCCTGTGTTGGTGATGACATACTAGGTAAAATGGATGCTTTGGTGCAGCATAGTTCTCTTGAATCAGAAAACTGTTACTTTTTAGAGATATTGTTTTTTTTTTTAATTGTGGATTTTACCATTCAATTTTATTCCCTTAAGCTCTGTCACTTTACCCAGTCTAGCCTTTCTAATCAATGCTCAGTCTAAACATACCATGGCCATGTAAAATTATATGTCATGTTTTGAGTTGATAGCTTCATGCCACAGAAAATGAAGCTATCATTAAATAAATTAAGAGTATGTTTTCACTGGTATGCTCTAGAATTTAGATTTGAAGATAAAGAAATTGACAAAGTTAGAGCACATACATGTAGAAAACGTGATGTCTTACATTGTTCATTTCAGTCTCCCTCAGATTTATCCAGTTGATGTTTGTGCTCTGTATACTGGGCTCTTAGTTTTAGAATTTTTAACCTATTATTCAGCCTAAAGAAATATCATCTCTTAGGTAACTAATTTGGAAAATGTTTTTTAATAGCCACTTCCAAAACTCTCTGACAGATTTGAACTTAATTGTGGAAGTAGGTAATCATCAGTTACCAGGGTTTCAGTAACGTTTTGAAGTTAATTTGGAAATTCTGCTGAGGAGTTACAATTAATGTCATAATGTAGTTTAGGTACTCAAATGACTTGGGATGCTTTGATATTCAGAAAAATATCACTTTTTTACTGTTGGATCACCTAATTCAACAAATGATTTTTTAATCTTCAAAAGCTGATGCATGGAGGCTTAAGTTGAGTTGCAATCAGCTTTTACTGCATCACTTCTTTAGTGTAAGATGTAAGGTAAAACTGTAGAAGAGACAGTAGCTATTGCCTCCTTTGTACTTGTCCATGTTATTCAAAAAGGTTAGAAATCTTTTTAGAATTAAAGCTTAGCTTTTCAGTAGCTTGAAGATGCTTAATGAGAGGCTTGTATGCAGACAGGGAAGGAGGGTTTTCAAGCATCTGTACAAAAACCAAATTGCAAATTTTCCAGGTAGAGAAGAAGAAACTGGAATTTATAGATGCTGAGCACCTAAATACTTCCAAGCATCTGTGTTCCGGCTTTGAAAGACATAGTAAATGGGCTCTATATGAAATATTCATCACTTCTGTAGCTGTCTGAAGGTATTCAAATACTGCAGGGGATGCTGACTAGACTTCTTTGTCTTTTCCTGTCAATGAACAGTAATGTATTTTGGTTGCTCAAAAAGAAATCGGAGTACAAATCAGACACTAAATCAAGGTTTGCTACTAGGAAGAGAATGAACATGATCATTCTCTGTTCCAGAATATGGAGAACAGAAGAGTCTTCTGTGTGACTGTATAGTCTCATATCAGGTGCTATAGGAAGCAATTGTAACCTTCAGGCACTTTTCCCACTCTTCTCTTTTCTCAGCATCTTGTAAAGGATGGTGGTTTTCTTATGTAGCCATTGACTCTTTCATCATTGCAGCTCCTATTCCTGAGTGCCTTGGTTAAAAAAGCTTAGTTACATTCTTCGTGTTCCATAATGAATGACTAGATGTGTTTGTGTGGGCGTGAGAAGTGGCAAAGTCAAAAAACTTTCAAGCACAATGTTGTTTTGCAAAAATTAGGGTGATGATAGATTTTTGTGTTTAAATGATGTAAACTTAGGATTCACATGATCAGTCTGTACAGAGGAGTATTATGAGTTAAAGTGGAAGGGCTAATAGAGAGAGAGGCTGAATGAAGGTGAAAAGGAACACAAAGAAGCAAGAAAATTGGATAGTTGAAGAAATGAGGAAATGGAGGGGAGGTATCCAACCCAACAGCCTTTACCAGGGTAGATGGAGGGTGTGTAACTGTTGGGATGAAAAGGCAAAGGGCAGTAAAGTGAAATTTTTCTAATAGTCAAACAAGTCGAAGCAACTAATTTATTACTGTTTAATGTGAGTGTTGGTTGTATGACAGAGTAACTCTCCTCTTAGCTGTAAATTTTGGAATGGTCTCAGACAGGTAAACAGTGAACCTGTTTTGCATGTTGCTCATGAACATCTAACCTGAGCTAACCAGTTGCATAAAGCTTCATAGTTTCCATGTCTGTCTGTCTTCTGTGGTTTCTAATGTCCATTTTGTGGAAGATAGATGCTTATTTGAAACTATATAGAGTGTTGTTAATTTTTTTTTTTGCAGGGATCTTTACTGTATGTTATATTTGCAGGTAATCAAATCTGATGTTTACATGATTGGATGACAAACTCATTTTAAAATGCTGTTTTCATATTTTCAACTGTACTGAGTTTAAATTTTCTATATTCTGTTGTGCTGTAGCCTCCTAACTTAAATCACACTAAAAATTAGCTAAAAATGCTAAATTACTCTGTTTTAGATGAGCTGACCTGTATTTCCTTTAAACTTTTAAACTTTTGAATTCAGAGAACTCATAACTAAAAAATATTCCAATTTACTGTTGACAGTAAATTTCTGCAGTTTTTTATTATTGAAGAATAAATAATAATTTATTATTAAATAAAAAATATTTGTTATTGAAGGTGAATTCTAAAACTGCTCAGCATGTTGCTTTGAAATGCTAAGTTGTAACTGTACATAAAATACTACAAAATTTTATTATTTTTCATAGGGAAGTTTTTACCTTTGAAGACAATGTTAGGACCAAGATATGATGAGCAGGTTGCTGAAGAAAATCGTTTTCACCCAAGTATGTTATCCAACTACTTAAAGAGTCTGAAGGTAAAGTTAAATTTTCTAATAACTGAAACATTGCTTTCCTTATTAATGTTTACTTAAGTGTTGCTTTTCAGATCTAAGGAAAAAGTGGTTGATGGCTTTGTTTGGGACACTTGTACAGAACATTTTTTTAATGTTTGTTTACGTTTCCTTGTCTCCTCTGCAATTAACGGATTTCCGAAAGCATTTTCTTACAGGTTAGAGTTCTTGAGACTGAACAAACCCAGCTCCCTCTGCTGTTCCTCATAAGAGATGCTGCATGAGCCTTGTTGCTCTTCTCTGTTCATCCTCCAGCACCTCAATGTTCTTTTTAAAGTGAGGGGCCCAGAACTGAGCACAGCACTCGAGGTGTGGCCTTGCCAACGCAGAGTACAGGGGCACAATCACTGCCCTGGTCCTGCTGGCCGCACCATTGCTAATACAGGCCAGGTGCCATTGGCCTTCTTGGTCCCTCAGGCAGCACAGTGTTGGCTGACACTGAGCCAGCTGCCCCCAGCCACCTCCATGTCCCTTCCTGCTGAGCAGCTCTCAAGTCACTCTTCCCCCTGCCTCTAGCACTGCCTGGGCTGCTGTGGCCTGAGCACAGGACCCTGCACTTCGTCGCCTTAAACCTCGTGGCATCCATCACTACAGACTTGTGGTTCTGGCTCACTTCTTCATCCTCTGTTTTGCCCATTTCTATCTGCATGCTTCAGTTTGCATGTTGTTCTGCACTATAGCACAGCTGTGACAATAAAGGTGGGGAACAGGACTTTTCCAGCCTTTCATGTAGTTCTCTGGAGTGTTGTGGCCAGTCTGGTGCATCTGGAGATGTGGGAAATGGGATTTTGAGCCTGCCAGGCAAAGAAATGCCTACCACCTAATTAATTTAATTGGTTATTAAACTTTATATAGAACTCAGTGTCATTTGTTTTGATTGTATCTGAGATGAATCATGCAAATGGTGTTTTTTCTGTGGGTTTTTTCATTATTTTTTGCTGTTGATTGAAGTTAAATTAATACTGAATTTATTTAACAGTATCAGACCTGAAACATCAGAAGAATTAGGTAACTGAAAGATGAGAATCCTCATTTTATTAATTTTATTTAAGCTTAGGTATGAAGTAGATGGTGAACTAATCAGTGTAGCAGTGGTAGAAGGACCTGTGCAGTAATGTGATAAGGAAGTACGATTAGTGAAGCATATGTGCCTGTTCTTGGTGCTTGAACTGGTAGGATTTTTCTTGATAGAGTTCTTGCATCTGTGCTTTTATGATCAGCTCTAATCACAGAAGATCAAACAGAGCTCTCTGTGAATAAAAAGATAAGAATCCTGAGGTTCAAAATATTTCCTAAGACAAGATTAAAACCAAACAAGGTTAAATGTTGATACCAAAAAATGTATATAGTTTATTTAACAGTAAAAGAAGTAAAGAAAAAGAAATAGAAAAAAGAGGTGGGAAGAGTGACAGTGACAGATTAAGTAGAAACATACCACCCTTCTGAGGGTCCCAAGGACATCTTGCTGCTCCTCTCCCTCTGGTCTTGGTGGGGAGAGTGCCCTGCCACAAATTATAGAATGCAGTGGATTAATATGCATTTGGGCCAGGTGGGAATGCCCAGGTGCCTCCCCTGAGTGGGGCAAAGTTTGACACTGTCCCTTGCAAGGCTCTGTGTCAATTGCATCATTTCTCATCACGTGCAGTGCTCTGGTGCAGGGTCTGGGGAACCATTCAGGGTTCCCTGAACCCTCCCTTCCCATCAAAGGCCTTTGATGGACCATGACCTGTCCTGCAGATGTGGCTTTCCTGGGGTGGGAGGCCCCACAGCTGCGCTAGTCTGTGCAGGGTGTTCACTGCCTCTGCCCAGAGGCTACACACCGAAAACCTCTCCTCCCCACCAGGCTGGAGAGAGCCTGTGCAGACCTGGCAGCAGATAAGCCTGCTGCTCCACCCTGAAGCTGTTGGGCTTAATTCTCCCGTGGAAGTATTTCTCTTTCCCAGCCCAGACCTGAGAATAGTGCCACTTTTACCTTGTCTCTGATCAGCTTACAGTCCAGGGCCTCGGTCAGGGGGCCCATTCAAGGGTGGGCTTTGGTGATGCAGCTTTTGTAGGTGTAGTTTCATTATACAGTTTTAATGGACAAAAATCCTTCATAAAAATGTTTAAGCTGTAATTTATAAAATTTAAGTCTCTGACGTGCATCTAAATTCAACTTGAGTTCCTCTTTCGTGTATTATGTTATTTTTGACTCTGACTGGATTTGATAGGCATACCTGGAAATTTTCCCAAACCAGTCTTATTCATGGTTTAAAGGAATTTAAAATTCTGTGTGTATTTTGAAGTTACAAAGAACTTTTAAATTTCTAAATTTTATTTAACTTCTAGAATTTCTAAATGCTTGCCTCCTTAGTGATTTGCCACAAAAAAAAAACAAACAAAAAACATGGTGACACTTTGTAGGCTTTCCAATAGTCACATCTGTCAGTTCTATGGTAATGCTACAAATTCATCATGTCTTGAGTGACATCAGATTAAAATTTGATAATAAAATCAGTAGCATGAGGATCTCCACTTGTATTTTGGTATTTTTGATTAACAAGCAGAACACAGAATTTCTCTCAAACTCAGTTCTCACCAAATCTATTACATTGTATTGGACCCTGGTATTGTTGATGAGTGTCTGCTGTTTGAAAACATACATATATATATATATTATTTGCTAAATTATGTAGTAGTTATTGGAGTGCTCTATCAGCAGCTTGCCAACAAGTCAGCAGTTAAATAAATGTTAAATTGAGGAGCTTTGTAAGAGTGAGTTTTCCCACCCAAGGTGAAAGTAGCTTGCTGTGCGTGGTTCTTGTAATTTTATGGCAGTGTGTTTTTTACTGCTAATATTTTGCAGAATAATTACTTCTGAAAACTGGTTATTACTTAAGTCCATATAATTTAGCTCCCAAATAAAAGACTTCAGCAGAAACTTTTACATCTAGATTTCTGTAACAGAGAGTTATTGCTGTTACTGCAGATTTTTGAAGGTACTGGTTTTGCATTTTAGACAACATCTATCTGGATGAAACTGTCTCTAACAAGCTTCCTATGTGTTTCCTTTTTTCCTGGAGCTGGTGGCTGAAAATCTGAATGTTAGAAACTGATTTAATTAGCCATGGCAGCCCTATTTTTCATCTGATCACCAATATTGGCATAGGATCTTAATGTTCTCTTAAACTAATTGCAGGAGTAATTGGTGACAATGTGAATAATTTTTTTAAAAATTTATTTCTTGAGTAGGTAGGTTAGTACAGTTTGTGTAAAGCATAAACAGGTAGATTTATTTCTGTCAGAAAAAGCTAGGACATTAGTTAACTCAAGAATGTTTGGGTAATAAATATTCTCAGGTTACAGAATTCCTATTAGGAAATCTACTTACCGATTTTCAGCTACATTATTGTTTTCACAGATACATTCAGTTGCTGATCTAAACTATTTTCCTCACATAAGAAATGCAAGAAAAAACTCCTGAGACTGGAGTGAATTCAGTGTATTGTAGTATGCTCTCTCCTTCCAGGGGAGTGTGTTTTCAATCTCCAGTCTCTAAGGAGAGATTTCGGGTCATGCAGGGGAACCTAGGAAAGCCCATTTTGTTGCACAGCAGCAGAAGAGCACATGTGTAAGGCAGTAATAGCTGGGGATATCTGGAACGTGATGAAGTGAGGGAAAGGCTTTTATTTTGTTTCAGTGGTACCTGTGGTTTTTTTTGCATGGATTTTTTGAAAATCATGGTCATATACTTTCATATGTTGTATAATCCCCCTGTTATTTAAAAAATTCTTTATAATTTTCTTGTGCTTTGCACTCTCTGAATTGTAATGTGTTATGTGCAGTCAATCCCATGGACTGAGAATGCAAATAATTATCTTTCTGTAAAGCAGGAAAACTACTTTCAGGTCTTACATGCTCTATATGCCATAAATACTTTTATAGCTTGGATAAATTACACTCAATGCCTATTTGCCTTACTGCTCCATGAAGTGTGTGAGGAACAGTGTCACTTCACATGAGCTTCAGTTGTATATGACTGAAATGATCTATAATAATGGCAAAAGAATAGCAAGTGAGAAGTCCTACAGGCCTGAATTAAGTAGTCTTGGAGACATTTGCAAAATGCTGTAGGGAATGGAGTGGGAGGAAAGTAATCATTGAATTAATTGCCTTTGTCTAATTCCTACATAATTAATCACTGTCTAGGATGCTGTCAGTCTCCATGCTTAGCAGCCCAATTGGCACTCTGTATTTGAAGCTTCAGGTGCTGTAACATTGTTTTCAGGTGGACCCCCTTGTGAGGTGCTTTGTTTTTCTGCAAAACAGTAATAAGAGTAAATAAAGTATTCTGAATACAATATTCAAAGTTGACGATGAGAAATTCAGAACTGATCTGGATATTACTTTAGAAGTTTTAATACTGTTGACATAACATTATGATGCTTTTTAATATTTATTAAATTAAAGTAATATGAAAGTATATAAGTATTACAAATGTATCTCATCAGAAGTTTGAGTATCATGGAGAACTATCTCTGTAGTTAATTGGAAATTTTCCTTTAGGGGTGTACTAAACAACATATTCATGTGAAACAGCTGTTTCTGAACTGTATTCTAGTTATAATTGGATTTTACCTTTTCTGAATTCTGTGGAAATGGTGGTGTACTTTGTAATTCTTCCAACTGCACTGCTAAATTATTGCCAGTCTGTTGGTCCTACCTGAAAGCGTGACATTGAGTTTTTTGTCCAAAAGCAATTGCTTGCACTTACAAGACAGGAAACCTGAAATACTTTTTTTGCTCAGGTGTGTTAGTGAGCTGTTTTTGCACAGTAAAACTGGTAGGTTTGTTGTTGGAAATTTTGTTTGGAACAAGGATCAGTAGTATATACTTTGATGCTCTGTGTGTTTTGTGCCACCCAGTGGAATTTCTACTTTCCATCCTTAAAACTGTAGTAACCTCCATGAGGCTCTTTAAAAGACCTATTCTCCAGCTATAAAAACAATAAAGATAGTAAAGAAAATAAAGAACTAAGTTGATGCACAAGGGGACACATTACGGTAGAGTGGGAAAGGCATCCTGGATTCAGGCACACCCTGATGCCTGAGTAGTCGACACTGCCACCGTAGCTGCTGACAGCATGTTTGAATATCTGAAGTTGTTTTGCATTTTAGCTTTAAATAAGATGTTTTTAAGAATTTAATTAATCTGATTAATTTTAAACTTGAAAATGTGTTTGTTCTTTTGCATTGTTTTACACTTTAATAGACAGGTAGATTAAAATGAGTTGTTTTCTGAGAGTATACTTATATATAAGTCTCAATAGTTAATTTTTCTTACTGTGCCAGTGTTTAGTATTGTTCTGCTTTGTATAAAAGCACTTGAATCCATCATGTTTGTCTTTTTAGCATGTTAAAGTAATTCTTTGCCAGACTTTCCTGCTGTTAGGAGAATTTTCTTATTTAGAAGCATTGGTTGGAGCAAAATGAAGTTTTTGAATTGATGACTGATGCTACTTTAGACACCAGCTTTCACAAAGAAATGCGATGTGATAAAATACAGATTTTACAAACCAATGCAATTTAAACATACAAATGTAGCCCATGGTTGCTTTTAATTATTATGTTTTTAGACATTTAGTATTTATATGCTGGTGTTTGAACCACATATGTGTTTGTTTGTTTTTTTATTATTTTTTTTTAGGTTAAAATGGGTTTGCTGGTAGACTTGACCAACACTTCTAGATTCTATGACAAAAATGATATAGAGAAAGAGGGAATTAAATATATAAAGCTCCAGTGTAAAGGGTAAGTTGTGTGCACTTTTTAATTATTACTTTGGCTTTTAATTTGAAAGATCACACTGAATAAATTAATTTTTTTTTCTCTTTTTCCCCAGGTGTCTCCTAATCCATGTATTCTTGTCTTTTTCAGGCATGGTGAGTGCCCTACACCTGAGAATACAGAAACATTTATCCGTGTATGCGAACGCTTCAGTGATAAGAATCCTTCAGAGCTTATAGGTACATCTTATATCAATCTTATGCCCATCATTAGTTTTTATTCTTAGTTTGTTTCATATTTGCTTGTAACTGCAGTCTCTTATTCTTAGAAGTGTGAGCAAAGGAATTTCCTCAGTAGTGTTTATGCATATCTAAATTTGATTTTACTGCAAAACAAATATATTTCTTTTTTTTTTACAGAAAGTAGTATGTTTCTGCATCCATCAGTTCGATAACACCTCTTGACTTAATGCAGAAAATGATACAGGCCCAAGAGCTATCTACAAATACATGATACTTCCACTGTGGTTTTGTAACTTCTGCTGATACAAATGCAAGCTATGTATTGTGTTGACATTTGGTGGTCTGGTTTACTTGAAGTCATATTTGGTAACTGAATTATCAGAGATTTTTTAGGAAGTCTCACAAAACTGGTAGTAGATTCTAGGCAAAGTTTCTCTTCTGTGGTATACTGTCTTGCAGTGAATATTTGAATGTTCTAAGAGTACTTTTTTTTTCCTCAGAAATAAATTCCGAGTTTAATTTGCACACCTTCTAGTTTTAGTTAAAACTATTTTACTTTGATTTTTGTCAATCATATTAGTGTTCATCTCTATCTGCAAACTGTCAAAGACGAGAAATTACTTTGCAAGTGCGTTTCCAGAGTCAGAATGGGTGTCATCCTCAATCCTCTTGGATGATAATTTTGCAGTCTTCTTGAGTCTGAGTGTCTGTGTGTCTTAGGACTACATGGGACAATTTGTACAGGTGTCATTACTAGGAGCTTGGTAAACTAAGCTGGTATGTTCATGCAGTTTAGGATTCATCCAGGTACATGGTAGGATAGCTGAAGTTATTGGAAGGCACCTGTGGAAATCAGCTACTCAGTTGCTCTTCTTTACAACAGGGCCAGCTAAAGGAGCTTCCTCAGGACTATGCCCATTTGGCTTTTGACCAGCCTCTAAGCTTGGAGACTACACAACTTTTTCTGGCAGCCTCTTCCAGTGTTTTCTCTTACAATATACAGGGTCCTTTTTCTCATATTGAAACATAATTTGTTGTATTTCAATTTGTAGCCATTGCTTCTTGTTCAGTTGCAGGATGGAATACCACTGAGAATTTTAATACCATTGAGAAATTTAATTTGGTCACACAATTTTTCACCTAGTTTTCTTTTAGATACTTGCTTAGTTTATTGCACACAGAATGCAGTTTAATTCGAGATTGTTGTGATTTAACTTCAGCCAGCAGCCAGCACAGCTGCTCCCTCACTTCTCCACTGGTGGGACTGCAGAGAGAAGTGGAAGGGTAAAGGTAATGTACAAGTTGAGATAAAGACAGTTCCATAGGGAAAGCAAAAGCTGCACACACAAGTGAAACAAGGAATGAATTCAAGCTTCCCATGGGCAGGCGGGTGTTCAGCCATCCCCAGGAGAGCAGGGCCCCATCACACCTCACAGTGATTTGGGAACACAAATACCATCAGTTTGACTGTCCCTCCATTCCTCTTTCTTCCTCCCACTCTATGCACTGAGTGTTCTATGGTCTGGAGAATCCCTTTGGTCAGTTTGGGTCACCTGTCCCAGATGTGTCTCCTCCCAACTTCCCAGGCATCCCCAGTGTCCTTCCCAGCATGGCAGCACAAAAAGCAGAAAAGGTCCTGGCTCTGTGTAATCCTTGCTCAGCAATAACAAAATCATCTCTGTATCATCTACCCTGAGTTCAACACAAATCCAAGACAACCCCACACCAGCCACTGTGAAGAAAATTAACTCTGCTTCAGTTGATACCAGGAGAGAGACCTGTGTGTTCTTCTCTGAATGGTAACACAACCATGTGGTTAAAAAACGAGGGATTGCTGAATGGGAGTGAGTGGAACCAGTCACCAACAGTATTCAAAAACTTACGCCAGAAGCAAGATATTGTTGGTGACTGATCCTACTCACTTTTCTTTCAGCAATTCCTTATTTTCTTTTTGCAATTCTTACACTTGGTCCTCCAGTAATATTTTAGAATTTCAAATAGTGGTTATGGTCAGCAGTTTATATAGCGCATGGATAGCATGGTAATATCCTATAAGTAGCAGACCCATTTAGTTGGTATTTCAACTTATAAAATGCCATTTTTAGTGCTGAGTCACTAACTTTTTTACTTTATTTTGATGAATTGTGGAATGTTTTTCTGTTACTTAGACATTTCACCTCTATAGGGGAAAAAAGTCAATTAGGGCTAAGGAGAAAATAGTATGTTGATTAAACTTTTGAAGAACATGTTGTTTAGGCTTTCATAGTAAAAGATAAATGTTGGAATTTTCAATTTCCCTTTTGTGAATTACTGAAATTTGTTATTTTGGGCACTTGTTTCCTTTGACAGAGCATCAGAGGGACTGGTGTGGAGGATGTTTATCAAAAGTGAAAGTGGTTTAGAGCAGGGATAGTACTGCACCCTGTGTGATCTTTCTCTTCCAAGCCATTTGGTCTCATGCTGAGATGCTTATCTTTGTCATATGTATAAAATTATCAACTTAACCTTGGCAGCAGTAACAGCTGCAGGATTTAGTGATAGCAATTGTGTGTAATTTTGTGCTGTGTCATCATTAGCTATGAAAAGAGACTGAAATGTGAATAATAAGTGATCAAAATTTTCAATTCATCTAGTACAATATAGGAAGGAAATTTCATTTTTGCAGCATGAGGGACAGGAGTATGCCTGCCAACCTTAAGGAAGTGACATGAAAAAATTTTGCTTCAGCAGAAAACAAAGGAGAAATGATTGTTAGGAATAAATTATATAATGAAGCTAAAATTAATTCAATTTGACACAAGTTACACAGTTTTTAGTATTTTTAAATGGTTAGAAATGATGAATCAAGAAAATTAATGGTAATTTTTACCTTGCTTTATCAAGAAGGGAAGGGCAGGTACAGACACAAAAACCTGATCCTGTTACAGTTAGTGCATACTCTTTTTTACCCACTTAAAGCTGGTTTTTGGTTTATTTTCATCAGTCTACTTTTTGCAAGTACTTCTTTGGTTCTCCAGTTGAAAAGTTTATACTTCAGTGTAGAGGAGTGAAAAAAAAAAAATAGATATTCGCATTTTCTTTGAATACGCGTCAAGTGAATTGTTACTAAATTTTCTTTACTAGGTGTGGTACAGAAATGAGAAAGTGAATTAAATCTTATGTGGCTTGCTTTGTGGTGCTGTGTTCCAGGCCTTGCACTTTGGGTCACAACAACCGCAGGCAATTAGCAGGTAATGCTACAGGCTTGGGGAAGAGCAGCTGGAAGTCTGCCTGGCAGAGAAGGACCTGGGTGTGCTGGTCTACTGACCATGAACCATCAGTGTGCCCAGGTGGCCAAGGAGGCCAATTTCCAGCAGGATTAGGAAGTGATTGTCCCCCAGTACTTGGCACTGGTGCTTAGGCATTGACATGCTGGAGTGCATCCAGAGGTCAACAGAGCCGGTGAAGGGTCTGGAGCACAACCCACAAGGAGCTGGGGTTGTCTAGTCTGGTGAAGAGGAGACTCAGAGTGACCTTATTCCTCTATACAACTGCCTGAAAGGAGGTTGTAGCCAGGGGCTTGGTGTCTTTCTCCAGGCAACCAGTGACAGGGCAAGAGGAGATGGTCTTAAGTTACACCAGGGAGGCCTAGGACATAAGGCAAAAAATTTCTTCACCAAAATGTCAAGTTGTCAAGCACAAGAACAAACTGCACAGGGAAATGGTTTGGTCCCCATCCCTGGAGGTATTTAAAAGCTGTGTAGATGTGGCACTTAGGGACAAGGCTTAGTGGTGGACTTGGCAATGTTGGGTTAGTGGTTGGATTCAATGTACTTAAGAGCCTTTTCCAACCTAAACAATTCCATGATTCTCTGGTAACAACTGAAAAATGTTAAGAATAATTGCTCTTGGTGTTAGTGGAAAGTTTAATGATATTTATAATTTAAAATTAAGTAGGAGGAAGAGGCAACATCTTGCCTGAATCCTTCATGACGTTTTTAATAGCACAAAATTCGAGGCTGGTCTGCTCATCACTAGGTGGTGCTGTTGCCTTGAGAGAAAAAGAAAAATGCAATGCATTTGATGGTGTATCCCTCCTATCACTGGGGAATGAGTTCAGTAAAACAGAGACTGAAGACTTAATTATTTTTTTTCACATTGAAAATATAACTAATTCAAGATGGTTATACTGTTGCATAGTTTTCTTTTTGTAGATTCTTAATTTTTTTCAAAATTAGTAAGTCTGGTCTTAGCATGGTAATAGCAAATTTGAGATAGAGTTGTGGTCTATTGGCACCCCTTTCAGTTTTGAGGTAAGGTAATCCGAATATGATTTTTTGCCTGATGGTATAAAATGAATATCATGCTTGTTGAATCCATGGAAAACTCAATCAATTAATTTGATTATATTGCCTCCTGACAAGAATTTGAGTAGATTTGTGAATCTTATCTGTATTAGCCATATTTCAATCACATTAAGTTAGTGCTCTTGATTATGATGAACTGAAGCATTCTATACCCTTGCTGCTGCTGATTTTCAGAAAGAATGTAATAAATTGCCTTTTAGGCTTATGTGCCTTATGTGGTGTGTGCTGCCGTGATGAGAAGAGAGATACCAATTTAATGTTACAGATTGGAGTGGAAGGATCTAAACTCACTTTCGATACTAAATATGTTTGTTAAAATCACTTGCAAGTGATTATGCCCTTTTCTTGTCTTTTCTAGGTGTCCATTGTACACATGGTTTCAATAGAACTGGATTTTTGATCTGTGCCTTTTTGGTCGAGAAGTTGGACTGGAGGTAACTTTGAATGTTAATTTCTGGGGGTTTGTGGAATGTGGCCAAAGGGTTCTTCAGTATGTTTCACTCGTCCTGACAGCTATGCTAGTATATTCAGTGTTGCTTTTTTTATAGCTACCTAATAAGTTTGAATAAACAGCCCATATTAACATTTTTTGTATCAACCCTTGGTAGCTTAGCCTGTTGCAGTCAAGAATTCCAGGTCTGGTAGGTCAAGTCACAGCTGTACTTGCTGTGTGTGGGCCTTTAGCAGTGTACATATCATATTGTGTCTTTCCCATGACATGTCCTACACTTTAAGTAAGAATGTAGAGTTCAGGGATTCCTGAAAGATTATTCCCTGTACTTTTAAATCTTTTTCATGTAGGTGTGCATGTAGGTTTTTGTGCTTTTTTGAGATCTGAAGAGATTAACTAGAGCAACATCAGAGTAACATACATACTTCTGAAGGATTGGGAACAGACAAAGCCCTCGTTTCCAGCTTGTTTTTTCACTGAAGTCTACAGCATGCTTCTATACAGACTCACCCAGGTTTTCATCTTTTAAAAATGTTGGCTCCTTCATACAGAGTAATTATCTTTTTTAGATAACATTAGTTTTAAAAGAAACTCCAAGCCCAAAGAATGCCTCTACCATCCTGTTGGACATAACTTTTGCATAACTTCTGTTTTGTAATATTTACAAAATGTTTACTTCTTGATGGAGTCCTGTGAAAGTCATGTTTCTTGACAAGCCCATTAAACATTCTGATAATATTTCTTATGTGTGGTCCTTTAAGTGAAGAAAATTCTGCTCCTGTTGCAGGATTTTCTTGTGACTAGACATACAGTTATTATGCTTAGCATACATGTGCAAGCTATTTGCAAAAACTAGATCATTGCTGTCTGTTATTAACCCTTTTAAAAGGTTTTATAGGTAAAAAAGGTAATTTTTTTTTACCCATAAAAAGGGTAAAATTTTAAGGTTAGAAATTATTCAAATGAAGACATTGGAGTCATAGAGATGGAAAACCATTAGTAATGCATGTCTGAATATTTGCAGGATCCTAGGTGTACATAGGAAGTAGACACAGACACGAATGCCCTTATTCTGTCCTGATTCTCAGTGTTCCTATGAATTAAAAAATTTGTATGCTTTTAATCAAAAAATTTAAAAGTAGCATGCAGTAATGAGACTTAGAATTGATCCTTTGTTCTGGGGAGGAAAGGCACTTGAATCTCTTTGGAACTCTTGCTTTTATGCTGCCTCTCTGTTTTCAAACCTTGGTGGGAAAAGCCTTAAAACTCAACAGCCATATCTTATTTTCTTTGCTTTGGGTGTTTAATTGTATCAAATTTGTTCATCTCTGTCAGATTATTTTAATAGAACATCCAGATATCCCCTGGCAGGAAAAAATGTCCACAGCAAACGAACAATTTTGGCAAGATGCTAGTTAATGCTGAGCATTGTATTAAGATAAATCTAATTTGCTGTATCATTCTTTAAAACAAGGCACTGTTTCTTGCTAATGAGGAAATAATATCTTCCTGATGGAAAAATCCATCCGTATTCATTCCTTAGGCATATGGTGTAGGAGTGTTGCTGCTGTTTCGTGTACAGTGAGATATATTTTATAGTTCATTTAGAGAAAGGCCTGAAAGCTCTTCAGCTTTCTGACCAATAAGGTCAGAAACCTTACTTGATTTTCTTTTCAACAACTCATTTTTCCCAAAGACTGCTGTGTTTCTAGAACTTGGAAAATTGTTTTCTTTCAGCTAGAGTTCTGTATTTGAAATCTGTGCCGCCTCTTTTGGCTTTCATTGCCATCTATTCCAGAAGATTATAGAGTTCTCCTAATATCAGAGAAAAAAAATGAGCATTTTTTAGACCCTATAACTTTTGGTTTGTTTTGTCCTTTTAGTGGCATTCATTACAGAAGATGTGAAACAATTTAAGAAAGATAGCAAAGTAAAAAAATGTCTTCTGAGAAAGAAATTAGGAGTCTTAAAAAACAGAATGGGGAAGAAAGGTCCTAAGTAACTCAGACTCTTCAACTGTCATTTTTGAAATGATACCATGTGATAGTGTCACTCTGGAGAATGTCTTGTTTTCTCCTCTTACAAAGATCAGAGGAGTGAATCAACCTTACTGGTTATTAGACACTGTTTCTGTCTATTCTGGAAAATTTACCTCCAGGCTCCATTCTATGCTGTACAGATCAGACCAAAAAAAAAAAAATCCAAACCATTTTGAATTAAATATGTGGAAAAAAACCCCAAAAAAAGTCATAGGATGTAGTATGTGTTCCATATGTAGTAGTAGTACTGTTTGTTCCAGTGTGTGATTTTTGCTTGTCAAGAAGCCTAACAGGGATATCTCTCTATTTTTGTGGTTTCTCCTCTCCCCTATATAGTAAGGTTTTAGAATGTTGATCCTTGGCACATTACTGCTCTTCACAGCCTTGATAAATGGAAGACAGAATTGTATCCAATGTTTTTAGTTAGACATTTTCATAGCATCTATGAATGGCAACAATAAAACCCTTGTGTTGTGCTCACTGTTGTATATTTTTGAGAGTTTTCTGGTTGTCTGGTAAAGATGCATGACTGTTAGTTTTGGTTTCTAATTTTTTTGTGGCCCAGCCTCCAATTTATTTGAGCAAGATTAAGTATTAGGTGCATAGTAAAAGGCTTCTGAGCCACAGTCCTTTTATGAGAAATTCTGGAAAGAGGAGTAATTAAAAAACATTAGTGTGGATTTTGTATGTATGTGTATGATGTATGATGTGTATGATGGCAAAATCTCTAATGAGAGGAAACACAATTCTTAGCAGAGAAAAATGTAACCACATTTGAATTGAAGCATTTGCATTTTTCTTCATTAAGTTTATTGATATGTTTCTTTGGTCTTTTTTTTTGTTCATGCAGTCCTTGGGTATTTACCTGCATGTTACCTGCATGTTTAATTGCTTCTCTGTAGCAATAAAAAAAGTTTTATCTGTGATAAAGCAGTGATCAGCAGACCACTAGAAGCTACAATAAGGACTCAAAGCAGCCTGAGCTGCAGCTACTTGAGAACATTTGCAGTGCCTACAGAGTTATACAGAATCCTGTGCAGGGGCAGCTGCTACCAGACTGACCTAAGCATGGGCTTGCAAATATAAGGAATGATTTTGCAAATACCACTTCAGAATTAGTATTGATTTGCAGTCCCAATAATTCTTATGTTTGTTGAGGCATGACATAACTAAAACATGTAAATTAAGAATCCACAGTGATTTTCTTTTTTTTTTTTTTTCAGTATTGAGGATGCTGTGGCTACTTTTGCTCAGGCCAGACCTCCAGGTATTTATAAGGGTGACTATTTGAAGGAATTATTTCGTCGTTATGGCGATGAAGATGATGCACCAGCACCACCAGAGCTTCCAGAATGGTGCTTTGATGAAGATGAAGAGGAGGATGATGATAATGGTAAAACTGGAGGCCCAGAATCAGAACCCGGATCATCAAGCTCTTACTTTGGCAAGAGGAGAAAAGAACGCCTAAAACTGGTAACTTTGATTTGGAACTTAATATTCAAATTGCTAAACATAATTTCATAACCTCATACTCATCAGTTACCTCATCGTACATGCTGTACAAGTGTCACTGCTCTTGCAAATGGGCACTAGAAGCATTGTCTCTAATTGGAAAAAATTGTAGATCCATTGTAAACTTTTATTTGTATTTCCCATGTGAACCTTGAACTTTAATATTCAGCACCTCAAATATTCCAGTTGTAAAAATGACTTAAAAATTTTCTAATATAACAAATTTTTGAGATACCAAAGTGCGTCTTAATTATTCAGTCTGTCTTTAGAGACAAAATATTATTAGAATTGGGTGGAAACATCTCTTGTTTTTTATAGTCATGCAGATGAAATTCAGAATTTTTAAAATTCATTGCTCATTTTGGTAAATAGTCTTTGGGAAATTTTGTAGGATTGAAAATTGTATGAGCAAAAAGCAATATGAGCTTAAAAAAAACAAGGTAGCTTTGAAATCATATTGTTTTCAAAGCTATTTTAGCTTTATAAGAAATTTGGGTGATCTTACTGTGATTTCTGACATGCATCTGCATATTTCTGATGAAATAAGTTACTGTAGTTACCATGATATGGAACTAATACTCAAGTACAAAGAATATATTTGTATCATCTGAAGACTAATGACTCAGTTCTCTTCAAATTCCTGACTCTTTTTCTTTGCTTTTTTATTAGCAAATGAAGTAAGCTAGACTATTGCTGAGTGCAAAAGTAGATTTTTTTTTTCCATTATACTGAATTATATTACTTGTGTGTTGAGGTGTGTTTGTTTGCAAACACTTGGAAATTCTCATACTGAAATAGGCTGCAAAAAAGTGTTTTGTTGTTACTGCAGCTGGTCAACAAGATTTACAGGTGGAGTATGGAAAATACTAGCCTGACAGGAATACAGTCTAAAGAAGCAAGATGAACTTTGAAAACTTTCAAATTATCTTCCATCTGGCATGAAAAATTTCCCACAACCTAAAACGTAGTAAAAGTATATTCAGGGGGTATGGTCACTTCCTCCATTAGCCTTGCAGTAAAACATTGATACCTAAATATTTTTTGGGGGGCTGAAACCTTTAAGTTTTTTTGGTGTGCCTTCTGATGCATTAGGAATTGAGGTGTTACGATGAGTTACAATGACAGCCTCTTTTCAGCAATTACAAAACTCAACTGGTCTATTTAACAGGAATGATACTGGCTTCCCAGGCTTTTTCTTGTCTGCCACCATAGTTTTGTTGAAAGCTGGAAGCTAAATTATACGAATAAGCATATTAATAACTAAAAGTTAATTGTGAGTTAGATAATTTGTGAAAGAAAGAATCATCTAGTTAATATGCATATTCGTATAATTCAGTTTTGCAGCTCTGAAGGAACATTCTTTGACATGAAGAGGAGGAACGGGCAGAATTCTTTACCATGGTTCATGGCTGGCAGATGGGACTGCTTCTTAACTCAGTAGAGATGGATACAGTCTATTTGTGATTCCTTGTAAATATGCGGTCTACAGGGGGAGTGAGTATCAGGTAAATACGTCTTGCTCAGATATCCATATTTTACTCTCTAAAGGGCTACATTTTCAGTATTTTGTTGGTTTCCTGAAGCAGATGTTTCCACCTTTATTATTCATATTTTCCTAAAAGCCTAGGGGTAGGCAGTGTAAAACTAGAGGTAGCTGTAGTGACTGCAATGTTCTGAATTTTTTCTCATTTTGACCCAAATATTTGTGGAGACAGAAGAAAAAATTACTAGTAGTGGTGGAGGAGACAGCTCCTAGGCATCCTGCTAGGATAATGAATAGTCAGAAACAACTGCTAGCTAGCCTGTGAAATGAAGTTAGTATACTGTCCATTTCAGAAACTCTGATGTGAGAAACTTTACTGTAACATTTTTCCTTTACACTTCCTATATTTAGCTGTCAAAAAGTCTTGACAGCCTTCTTTCCTGCACTACATTCTAAGTGTAAGAATCATTAGAACATAAAGCCATTACAGTTTCCTTTGTCATCACCTGAAGGAAGTTGACAGATACCAGGAAATCTGTTTGTTGCAGTCTGAGGTGCCACACAGGAAATCCAAACAAGTTTTGACTTTGTCAGTGCATGCAGTATTGATTGTAGCATCAAAGCAACATTATTAACTGACACTCAGAATCTCACTTCAGGAAAAAAAACCCTTCATTTTGCAAATCAAAAATTTAATTTGTAATTCTGAGCCAGAGCCTACAAACCTTTAAGGGTCAATTGGAACTTTCACTGTTTATTAAGGAATGTTGTCTCTTCTAGTCCTGCATAAGTTGCGTGTTACGGGGTGTGGGATGCAGTGCTTCTGAAATGAATGGTGACATCTTAAACAATCTGGAAGAGAGGGTGGCTGGTAATGATCTTCTTCATGATTCTGAGTACAGAAGTCTTGTGGTCATCTGTGAGATAGAAAGAAGCAATTAAACTGATTTGACTTAATTAGGATAATATTTATTAGTTAACTATCACAGTACGTTGATTCTAAATATTAGTGACTTGGGGTTTTTCTGCCTTACCAGCTCCCTTTTGCAAAGTTTAACCTTTGCACTTACTCTTCTGCCTGCAGGCATCATGAAGGATATGGAAAAAATAATCTTTTTTGATTTAGCAGCACCATTTTATGTGCTTGATTATGGGTAACACTTCCTTCTCCATGTTAAATGCTTATTAGTTCATTTTTTCCTTATAGACCATATTTTTTGTACTACTGACCTTTCTTGTTATTCTTTGTATTCTGTCATGTTGACTCATGTTTTCCTGACGCTGTGGTGCCTGTAATTAAATGCAATCCTCTAGTTGAGGCTATCCTAGTAAGGCTTAATATGGAGAAATTAATTTCACATGTCTTAAGGCTAATATTTCTGTTTATATATCTCAACATAATTGCCTTTCACAAAGCAGAACAATACTAATTCAGCTTTTGGTCTCTTGCTGCTTCCATGTCTTTTTCTCTAATTATCTACCAGTGTGTGTTTGTATAATTTCTTATCCATTATTAAGTGTAGAACTTTGTTTATGCTGAATTGCACAGTGTTATTTCCAGTCCATTTTTAAAATTAAGGATAACACTGAGTCTTAAACTACTATCCCAATCTATGTCCCTGTTACTAAAGTCAGAGATGTCACAAAAGTAAGAATTCTAATAGGAAGCTTAGTGAAAATATATAAATTATCTTATGCCTAAAGCAGACCCTACAGATTTTTCCATTTTGTTAGTGAAACACTAACTCCTCTGAACCTGGTTTTGAAACAGGTTATTCTCTTCTATGGAAGTTACATCTACCCCTTGTTTTCTGAGTTCCTCTATGAGGACGAGATAAGCAAACAAGACAAACCAAGGCAAATGCATGCACTGCCAATTCTGTGAAACCTGTTTCATTATGAAAACCAAATGTTTAATGGAACACCCTTGCTACTGAGTGACAGTTGTATGATTTTGTTTTCTTTTTTGCTTGTACATGCCAAGAGGCAGTTACTGTGATTTGGTCCTGTGTTTCTAGGTATTAAATCTAAGCTGATCAGTGTAACTCCCTGTCTCTCACTTCCTTCATTTTAGAAAATGTCTCTTCCTGACGTGTTTTGCAATGTTTTTTGTCTTCTGAGAGGTGGTCTCTGAGCATATTGGCGCACAATCAAGTCTGAGTAGCTGAAGACAGCTCTCACCTAGGCCTGGTGATAGCCTCTAGGGTCAGAAAGGTGTGTGTTTGGGGTTGTTCCCACTCACCCACTCCTCCAGATGGTGTTTAGGATATGAACCAACAGAGGATGATCCACATTGCCACTTCTCCTTCAGCTGAAGTGATGGGTGGAGAAATTCATGGCAAGTGGGGCAAGGTTGATTAGTACAGATGGTGTCAAGGTTGTGCAGAGTGTAGATACTAAGTACGTGTAGTTTCCTTGGATCCTTTAGGGCTTATAACTCTTGGTTTAGTATGAGGAGTTGATGTGCTTCTGGTGATCTAAGTTGTCTGGAGTCTGTGCACCATGATCTCCAGTGTCCTGTTTCCAAAGGCATTAGTAGCTGAACAGTAGAGTAAAAACTGCACGGGTCTAGCTCACTTTAAGTGCCTTATCCAAGGAATGTCCTCATGAAACCTGGAATGCTAAGGTAGCCAAGCACGAATGCCCAAATAACTCACATTGTTTTCATAGTTCTGTGCCTTAGCTAGTGATTATACTTGAAGCAGATAATCTTCAATAAACATTTTCAAGTATGAATTTTATGGTTTTTACTTTTTCTTTTCTGGAAGATCTTTCCTGTTCTCTGACTGTTACTTCAGTCTTAGTGGTCATACTGCCATTGCTCTCTGGTGCTATTAACAGAAGCAAGGCAGAAACATCTTCCTTTCTCTCCTGGTGCTCCTCATCACTTATCAGAATTCAGACAATGTGCTGGCCAGGCATGAGTAGCTGTCTGCCTCTCTCGCCCACTCCCCTGCGTGCTGGTGCACCGGCTGGTACCTGTGTAAATTGTATGGGGTGAGTGACACACAGAAGGTCTGTGGAGCTCAGGGTAGTTAAGGTTATGAACCAGTACGTTTCTTTAGGATGTTCTATTCTCAGAATGTGATTCGGTGATATGGCTGAGCCAATCTTAACTAACTGCAGGCTGTGCTGAAAATTGTGGTCCTGCTTTTCCCTGCTTTCCCTTTGCTTCCCTTGTGCTGGCACTAGAACTGAATTATCCTACGGTGAGCTAGTTTAGGGTGCTATTTTGGCAGAAGATTACCAATTTATGATGTTATTTTTGCCAAATTAGTTCCTAGACTTGCTCAAATGTATAACAGATGAGTGCCACAGTGTGTGGAAATGCAGAGGAGATGGTTTGATCTGCTTTGTGTGCATTTAAAATTTATTTGCGATTCTGTTGAATTAAGTCTGGTTGAGATCTTCATAGAAATGTTTCATTTTGTAGTTTTGTAGACCCGATGGCTTTATGTGTTCTGTTGTGCAAGATTTGTTTTTATTCCTCTTGACATCAAACTTTTTCTAGAATGTACAAGTTATTTTAGAGTTTTATTTCCAGATTAGCTTTTTTGATCTCTACATAGCCTTTTCTGGGGCATTCAGGATAGCAGCTCTATACTTTAATCACCTAATTTAGATTAAGAATAAATTATAAAAATATATTTACAGAAATATTTTTTTACAAATCTGCTGGTTTTTTTTTCTTTTTAAAGTTTGTCCTAGATCAGCTTTCTTGAGAGTATTAGCTAAGTAGTGTAAGCATCTAAGTACTAGCTATCCCTTCCTGCCTTATCCCTATTGCCTTTTTTTTTTTAATTGCATATTTTCCTCATAAATAACTCATTTCAGTTCCTGGTTTTATAATATGGCTCACCTGTGAGTTTCCTGGAAAAGCTCAGCAAATGTATCTTGGCGTCTGGGGGTAAATCCTTAAGGAATGTTTAAGGTTATATTGCTCTAGAGGGTTGTGAAAACAGACTTAATCTTGTATTGACATATTCTGATTTGATTTTATGAAGGCTTTAATACTAAATTTTTTTAATTTTTTTTTTTATGTAGGGTGCAATTTTCTTGGAAGGAATAACAGTTAAATGTGTGACCCAGGTGACAACACAACCAAAATTAGGAGGAATACAGCAAAAATGTCAGCAATTCTGTGGATGGGAAGGGTATGAGAATATTTAGAACTTACTTATTTATACTATCTAGAAATAAGTGTTATATTTTGCAGAATGAAACTGCTCATTGTAAAAATGAGAAAAAAAGTGGCTAATTTTGAATGTATTGTTTATAAAAAAAACCGCTCAAACACACTTGGTACTGAAAATCTTGCACTGTACTATGAAATAAAATGATCAGTTTTTAATGTTAAGAAACAAGATTCTAGAATTACTTTTCCATTGAGATAACAAAATGTTGCTGTTCAAATTCCAGATGTAGCCTAGTCCAGCTATTTGTGTAAAATTTAGTTCTTTCTCAAGTAGTAGATTTATTTATACCACTGCTATTATACTTCAGTATACAGGTGTACTCATTTTTATAGCTAACTTGGATTTGTGTTCAATGCTCATGAAAATGTTGGTTTTCATGTCTGTGATTCTGAACTTTTCCATTCCAAAGTTGGTGATCCACACTACTTCCTAATTTGTTGATGTGTATCGTCCCTGATACTCTAATTTTTAGTTTAAATATCTCTTTCTGTAAAGTTAAAACTCTGAAGTTCCACATAATGTAGTGTTTTGTCATAAGCAAATAAACTTTGCTTGTTCTTATGAGATAGGCTTTTGACTTCTATTGCAAAATGCTTCATTGGAGAAGATATTCTAACTCAGAGTTAACCTTGCAACAAGTCAACACATGAGGTGTGACTTGAGTCTGATGTAAAAAATGTATTTACTTGTGTGAGTATTTATTGCAGAACCATTAATAAACATAGTTCTTTTTATTAGGACTGGATTCCCTGGAGCACAGCCTGTTTCAATGGACAAGCAAAATATTAAATTTTTGGAGCAGAAGCCATACAAAGTTAGCTGGAAAGCAGACGGCACCCGGTAAGTTAATTTTAAATGAAAAAGCAACACACAGTAAATTTGGTAGACAGCTTGTATTTTCTCAGGAAAGTGAATTTGCTGGTACAAAGGACAAAGCACAGCAACAAAACTGGCTCCAGAGATTAATTTTTATTCTGTGCTGGTACCCAACATTTGCTGAAGTTTGTGGCCAAGTTTTTTTCTAGCTGGTGTTCTACACACTGTTAAAAGGAAGGTACCCTTACTCTTCTCCATAACCCTTGCCTGTCTGTCAGCCACAACTTGCCACCAAGGTCTTAGAGTAATCTTACGTAACAGTGAGAGTTTGCTAAGGTGAAGACTTTATTTATAAGCTAAATTATAAGCTAAATTAAAATTAAATTAAATTTCTAATTGATCCTTCAGAAGATGGACAATATTAGAAATTCTGTAGGATTTCTTTATATTCATACTGTGGTCCTTTGTTTAAACATAGTTGATGTCAGCTAAAGAGTCAATAATTTTATCTTCCCTCACCAGTTTTCTTACATTCATTGCAGGGGTGCCTTTTGTTTAATAACAAACCTCAACCTAATTGGACTGATTGGACATATTCTGAAGTTTTTCCTGAGTTCTTTGTGTTGCTAGGTTTCTTATCTTTAATCATAGAGTATCCTAGATAATGAAAATCCTGGAGAATACGGGGAATTGGATGTCTTATGAGAATTGCCAAGTGGCTCCATGTAGAGTCAGTCAGAATTCAGCATAATTCAGCCAGAACTAAATTGTCTTGTATAAAAAAACCCCAGACCTTTCAAGTGTCTCTCCTCTGTGGTGTTTGTGCTTTAATTGTTTATTAGCTTGGGCTGAGAATGGTGTGAAAAGTCAAAGAAAGCTTGCAGTCAGCATGGCATCCAACCATTAAGAAATGTGTGGGAATAATTGATTTACTAGCACTGGCTGTATGCACAAGGGCTTGGGTAGTGCAGTGCAAATGTTCTCAGGCTGGGAAATTACAGCAATGGGGTGTTGGGAGGTCAAGGCATATTCTCAGAGCAGTACAGGGCATAGGCCATTCCAAAAGTGCTGACCCTGAACAAATGAAGTCAGCCAGCTTAAACTGACCTGAAGAGTCTTTGTCTAATCCTATGTTATTGATTTGGAAAATTGATATCTTACGTAATATTCTCATTTTCATACTTAAATGTGTGGATGGGACATCCACGTTCTAAGTACGAAAGCAATTATAGAGAACATAGCGGTGTACCTGGAAGACTGCATTTTGTGAAAGAAATTAAAGTGTACAGGTAATTTCTTGTAGAAATATTCAGTATTTTGATCATTCTAGTCTCTGTTTTTTGTTTTACAATGGTGGGAAATCAGAATGGATGGAGAACAGAAGTGAAGGAACTAAATAGCCCTTTTAATTTTTTTGGAAACATAATAGATTGGTAATAGATTACGGAGATACACAGACCGATAGGTATATTTAGAGAAGAAAATGGAGCTACAGAGATCCAGTTAATGAAATTCACCTTAAGTAATATGAAAGAGAGATTAAAGATGAAAACCTGAGCTATTATTTGGACATTTCGACACTATGCATGATATGTATCCTAATCAACAATGAAAAATTATTATGATCATTTTTGCATTGGACATGCATCTAATTATTTAGTTGTTCTCCAGTAATCCAGACTCCATATGCAATTAAACAGATTTTCATTAGTTATTCTGAATGCTTGTGTTGACAGGCGTGACCTTCTTGAATTTAATATTAAGACATCAGTTAGTGGAGACACATTTATGGATCCCCTGCTTATGTTATCTGGAGATGGAACCCTTGTCATCAAATATCTCTGACGATATTCTGTTAAAAGTGGTTAAGATGCAGCAGTCTAGACCTTGCCTATTAGAATATTATTAGGCTTGCATGCTTTTTTTTTTTTTTTTTTTCCTTGCTTTGTTCTCTATCTTTGCTTAAAAAGCACTGTTGTTTTGTTGACTCTACTGGACTTAAAGAAAAGCAGATGAATAACTAACAACTTACATGTTACACTTTCTCACTGAAGTAAAACTGTTTTACTGCAGTTAACATATGCTCAACTTAGCCAAGCTTCTGAAATTTCACTCTTTGTTAAATACCTGTATTTTATTTCTGCAGCAGTTTTTCCTAGAGGTTTCATGACTGAAGCATTTTTTTATACATTCTCTTAACTGATTTGCAGTGTCAGTAACTTCACTAGAGGACTTCTACTTTTCTTCAAAAGCGTTTGCTAATCCTAGATTCCGATTGGAGCTGAACCTTTGTCTTCTGTTTTAAGTGCTGAGTTGTTTTTGGTTTTGTTGTGGTGGTGTTTCTTTTGGTGATTCCCCCCCCCCAATTTGGGTTTTTTTTTCAGTGGTAGAATTGTGCATGTTTACTTGGTTTCTTAGCATTATTGTATTTTTCTACCCATACTTAGAAAAAGTATTTCCCTAAATAAAAGGGCATTATTTATCATACAGTGTTGACTAACAATGTGAAATTGATTAGTTAAATTATCTGATGGTGATTCTATAAAATACCTTGGGGAGATTTACGTGTTTTTCTAAGTGTGTGAGTTCTGAGTCTGGTTTGGGTCAAAACTCATCCTCCTCCATTCTCTTGGAGCTCTGAGTTCAAAATCTTTTGACTTTGCCTTGCTTAGCCCAGTCTGTTGCGATTTGAAGAGTTTGTGCCTGCACTGTGGTCTTGCTTGTTCCGTCCCTGGTCTCCAGGGCCCTTGCTGTGGAGGTACCAGTGGGGCACACCTCCTGGTTCTGTTCCAGCATTCCTTCTGGAGCATGTTTGTCCCAAAAGGAAAAATACAGTGGGAACAAATACTTCTCCCCTCCTGTTTGTAAATGCCAATGCATAAAGATGTGTATATTTACATCTTAGGTTTAGAGAAATGAACTTTAAATTAAAAGATCTGTGAAGCTCATTCAGCATTGGCAGTCTTTGGTGAAATATTTCCTTTGTACCGGCTACTTGATTGTATGTAAATACTGTATGCAAACTCAGGCTGATTTGGAGAAAACCACCTCTAAAATCATATTGCTTTAAATTATTATTATTTAAATTAAAGTCACTGAGTTTTGCATCTGTTCTGACTGCCTTGGTGTAAATTCTCTATATTTATTGGAACTGTTGTCAAACTATTGGTATCTTATAAATAATTTTAATGCTAATCTATTCATAAGCCAAAGGGCAAATTTCCCACTAGTAAAATCATGCCTTTTGGCTTTGCTGAGATGAAATATATATTGTATGTTAACAGTAGCTACAGGGAAGATACATCTTTGCAAATGTATCCAATTTTATAGTGTGTGTTTCTGGAATAATAGTCACTATCTGAGTAAGGTAATTGTACCAGCGTGTTCCAGGCGTTGCTGGATGACTCCGCATTATCAGCTTTGTACTGTAAAATGATTAGTCCAGGTGGGTAATGGCATGTTGTATCCCTTCATACAGATCTCATTAATACTGTTTGGAGCAGATGCTTCTTTGGATGAGTGGAGCTGAATGTTCAGGCAGGGTAAAGTAATGAGACTCCAGTTCCGAAGAAAAGACTGCTACCGCTAAGAATAATAAAAAGCTTAAAAATGGCTGTGGAATAATTCAAATCAATACAATCAAACAGAACTAGGTTTTACAATGGTGAAATGTGATCTGTACTAAATGGAATCTATTAAGGGCAGTAAGTTATTTTCCTGCATTTCTATGAGTACCTTTTTTATTTTTCACATCTGTACACATGCAATTTTAGTGAAAAATTATAAATATGATCATAATACTATGGCTGTTCAATTATGTTAAGGCAGCTATTTTAAAAAATGCAGAACAGGTAGTTCTTGCCAAAGGCTATTAAATTTGAAAAATATTCATGCAAATTTGATGGCTTGCAGATATCTAAATATGAATAAGTAGATGCAGAATAAAACAGCTCTTTGAGAATTGCTGTTAATTGTCTAATGTGTTTGTAACAAAATAGTTAGGTACATCTGTGAAGCTGTTTTTTCCTTTCATGGTTAGCAAATTACATTTACATTAAAAGAAAGGCCTGTTGCCTAAGTAATTAACTTTTTCTTGTTATCCTAATACAAAACAAAAATATTAAATGTACACTTAATTGTATGATAAAACTAATGGGCATTTTAATTTTTTTTAATCGAATAAATTCCATTTATCTTGAATGTATCAATAAATATATATATATAGAGTATTGATTTATACTGAATATAATTATTTTGATTTAATTACTATATTATCAAACTTACTATTAGTTTTTTTTTAGTTCAGCTTTTTGTAGAAATTGAAGAAATTTATTTTTTTTTAAGAACTTTTAAATTATTGGCAGTTGCAGCCTTTTCAGAAACCTTTATTTGTGATCCTTACTTGAAGGAAATTTATTCAGTATATTTTAAGATAACTTTTCTATAAATGTCATGAAAACAAGGTTGAAGTTTCTCTCAGATTTCCATGGCTCAGTAATTTTTCGTTCCCTACTCTTTTATCATTTACATGGTAAGATGAGACTTACATGCATAACTGATAAAATTGCAAATTTCTAATATGAGAAGTTATCAAAAAAAATTTGATATCCAAAATCCAGAGTAAATTGTGAAAAAATCATCACTGCTAAAAGAACAGCTCATAAAAAAAAAAAAAAAAAGAGAAAACTGAGAAACAGATGTGTGTTTGTTTTAGAAATTAAGAGGTAAAAGGTACTAGCCCCAGAATTAGGTGGCAAGGAAGCAAAATGGTTGCCTGTTTGTAAAGGCTTAAAGAAAAGATACTTGAATGGGTTCATGGAAAAACTATTATCCCTGAGAGAGAGGAGGAAAAAGTTGAGATAATAATGAGAATGAAGGAGAACAGAGAAGATTGGAGAGTAGCGTTAATCCAATTAAATCCCAAATCTATACTCTTGAGAACTCATTATTAAGAACAAGAGACCAGATTGTCAAGAAAGCACATCTTGAGTGTCCTGGGAAAAAAAGCTTGTCTCCTGGGAGTA